CTTTGTCCCCAAATGATATGTTCCAGGCCCCTCTCCTGTAGTGGAAAGAGACTGTGGAGAAAGAATCTGTCTGGGTATTGATTTTATAAAGATAATGTCGCGAAGGAGAGGCCGGTGAAAGGACACAGAAACGACCAGTAATGAATGGGCTGGAACCCAAGTCATATTTAGTAAATCTCAATTCTAGGCTGTTTTCAAGTTATAACATCTGTTTTGTGGAGAGCTCTGTTTGGAAGAAATGTAATTGATTCAACAATGGTTGGAATCTTAATTTTGAGCTATCATATCAGAGTTGCAGTGGCAGTACTCAGCTGGGAAAGACTGTCCTCACCATTTGTTTCTTTTTTTTTTTTTTAAACAAAACATTAAACAGCTAACAGAAAACCAATTGCCCTAGCTGAAGAATCTGCTCTCAGACAGCTAAGTGAAATCCTCAAGGATATTTTTTACTTTCCAAATTGCAAAATATAAATATAATTAATATAGGGACGGAGATTTCTTTTGAAAATATATTTAGAGTATGTGTATGTATGTATTTGTGTTGTAATTTGCATTTAAACTCCCCCCCCCCCCGAAAACAACAACACCTAAAAATAAAGCTAAAAAAGGTAGTAAGGTTGGAGGCAAATGTCCCCAGGGAATGACCATTAGCAAATTCATGACTCAGGGTTTGGTTTAGACTTCTATATTAAGCCGTTTGTTGTTTTAAGAATCACAGCTTCTGTATCAGGGAGATTAAATTATTCAAGTAGCAAAATATAGTTATAGATTTGAAGATGCTTCTGAAAATCATACACACACAAGCTCACACACCTGTTTTTTGTACCCCTTAAGGACGTAATAGTCATAGGATTCAGTTAAAAAAGATTTAGAACTATTTGCAGATTAATTCTAAGGTTTTACTTAATCTGTCATGTTGGTTTGATGTTTCTTCATAAAATTAGTACAGATTTAATACTTGATGCATTATCAGTGTGTTGTATATGCACAAATATTTTAAATTTTAAGTGTTACTTATTTTAATATTGATTTATGTGTAGATTCAATGGTAGGTTTTCCATTTATAGCAGTGATGTAAAACATTTCACATCAAATTAATTTAAGCTAGAAGACTGTGACTACTCAAAGAGAAATGGTCATTGCAGGTGGCGTATGTGGCAGAAGTTGGGAAAGTTGACACATGATTAATTAAAGTCTAGTCAACATTGGCTTATTAGTAGACAGTTATGCTGGCTTGTTGTACTCTAATTTTCTATGTTGTTAAGAACTTCATGTCTACTGATAATATATGTTAGAATCGTGGCTCTTAGGAATAATATATTTAAGAAAAAGAGTACTGATGTCAAAGTTAATTAAATGGAAAAAAGCACTTTAATTGGTTGACTCATACTCAGTTAAAAAGTATACGTTAAAATATTAAATTTATTGAGGAGATTTCTAGGACTTCCTGACAAGTGTAAGGCAATTTTATAAAAGTGATACTGTACCACTCAATTGGTGTAATGGTGCATCAAGCATTATACACATGCAAATGGCTTTTTAAAAAAAACTTATGGTAAAAAGGTAAACACAATTTCATAAAGTAATAGAGTAACAATGGTTAATACATTCTATATTGTTATTTTAAAATACTTGCTCAGGGTACAAGATAGGGGCTTAAAATTTTTTCCAATTGATATTACCATAAACCTTCCTTTTCAGTGAACTGAGAGAGGCCGATAGCGTAACTGACTTGGATTTTTCCCTTTTCCCTTCTGTCTTTTGCCCTTTTACCCATCCTACTCCCTTTTTCCTTCTGAACAATTTCTTGCCATTTCACATTATCTGTTGCACATTTTAGAACTTATTTACTCTTTCAGTTTCTCACACCAGGGAGACAATATGATGTTTACACACATGAGTCTGAGTTATTTCACTGTTGTGGCAAATGGCTCCTGACAAGTTGCACCAGTCACAATTTGGGAAAATCCTTTCCATTATGTTTATATAGAATAGGTAACGAGAAGAATAAAAGTATCGTATCTTTTTTCCTTTCAGAAGTAGAAAAAAATAAGTAGAATATTTAGTAGAATGCCGTGAAATCAGTTTTTTATTCCCAGAAAATATTCTTGGAAATATTAGAATATCTGGCAATAGGAGACTGAAGTTGGAGGACTCAAGTTCAAGTCCAACCTAGGCAGCCAGCAACTTCGTGAGACCCTATATCAAAAATAAAAATACAGAAAAAAAAAATACAGAAAAAGGGCTGAGGATATAACTCAGTATGAAGGCCCTGAGTTCAGTCTCTAGTACTAAAAAATAAAAAATCTGATAACAACTTTTTGGCCAATTACAGGGTTTACTTTATGCTTTTAACCTTTGTAATTGATTTAGTTACTTCACATCTAAGAAACACATTTGTACAAAACAGTGACAGCACAGAATGCAGGACAGAGTAGCAAGTTTTCTTTCTTCCTTCTGGTCCTTCACCAGCCTAATTTCTTAGGTACAGACTACTGTTAATAATTTGAAATTTTTAAAAATCAAGTGTAATGGCATTTAGGAATGTGGAAGAGTCCTTTTTATCACCATATTTTTGTATTCAAATTCTTCACCATTGTGGAACAGCAATGTCAATTTGGAAAGTTTCTTACATTTCTGAGTTTTAGATTGCTTGACAGGAAGTCTTAGTAAATATGACTTTCCTTATGCAGTTCAATCAGAATTCCTCTCTCTCCCTTTCTCCCCCCCACATAAGGAGCAATGTCTAAGAAGATGTGGCATAGGGACACATGCTAGAAAAATGGCGGTTTGTGTGTTAATGACACAGCGTGATACACATGTGTATCAGGAGAACTTCTTCCCATTCCCTAAGTGCCTGTCTCCAGGTTGTAAAAGGTCAGCCTGTGACACATGCCCTGGGAATCTGCCTGGAATTTAAACGGCCCCTTGTTGGGTTTCACTTTGCACTTATTAATAATTTAGTGCTGGGATAAAAATAAAAACAAAGGCTCTCCTCTTACAGTGTGAGAACATGGGTCATGTGTGCTAAGTCATACAGGTAAGATGAGAAGCGAAGCCTGGTGGGGTTGCCAGTCTAAAGAGGTTTCATGTGGACTGGCGACTCCCTCCTGCAGAAACTGCCGCAAAATTGGAGAGAATTAACGAACTTGCTCCCAAGGAGAGTACTGCAGTTTTTGCTTTTCAAAGGCTGTTTGTATAAGCATTGATTATCTAATCCAAACACAGAGGCTTTCTCCAAGCAGTGGTCCCTCTTAGCAGCCATAGTTAACTTTCAAATACTGCAGGTTCTTCAGGGTGGAGAAAATGCTGTATTACAACAGCTCTGTTGTATGGTCTGCCCATTGGGTTGTGGTAAACTTTGGTTGTGACATTGGTTACTGCAAATGGTCTTCAAAGCCGGGTTGATTTAAAGTGATTTTGTACTTATTTGAACTGAAACTAGAGTCCTGATTCTCTCCAGAATCTCTGCCTTGTGACTAGATTGCTCCACTTTTTTGTACTTGCATATGTGTTTCTGTTTTGTAGTACTAAGGGTTGAACTTGAGCCTTTGCACCTGACGACATCCTTAGTCCTTCCGCTTTTCAGTTTTTATTTTGAGACTGGGCTTCTACTTGTGAATCTTCTGCCTCAGCCTCCCGGAGTGCTGGAACAATATGTGTGTTAATCACATTGATGCCTGCTGATACTACTTTTAAAGTTTGTTTGCAGTGTGGTTTTTGTTTCATTCTTAATTCACTTTGATTGGTGTGTGCTTTATCAGACCTTCATTTGCCAAATGAATGTGAGGCCCTGTTACTAAAGCTAGGCTTTTATCCATTTCATTTCTTTAGAGAATTCAAAACTGGAGTGCTTTCTAGTTCTGCAATTGTTGATAAAGAAATACATTTGCTATTTTGCTAGCTGAATAGTGTAGCTTAGGACTCCTAAAGGCTTTGCACATAGAAAGGAAACCCTACTTTATAAAACTGGGACTCTGCCATTCTCGTGATTAAGGTTGCGATGTGGGAACACATTGAGGAAACAGTGTCATTAGTTCTACATAGAGAAGATTTTTGGGCTTAAATAAATTCAAATTATAGATGAAGAGGACCCCTGCCTTCAGCTCAGAATGAAAATACTGAATTGTATTTGGGAGAAAATCAGACTGCCCCGTGGTTTATACTGCGCTTCAGTCTGCCTGCCTCGGCTTCCTGCTCCTTCCTGCCTCTGCCCTCGTCCCCTCCTTGTCCCTCTGCTCTCCCCTTGGTCAGCCTCACAAGCTCTTTCTCCCTCCAGGACCCTTGCCCTTTGCTGGAAAGGCAGTGATCTTGCCTGTGTTTCTTTTTACCCATCTCAGTGTGATTTCAGTGAGGGGTACAGAGCAGCTGGCTTTCCCCAGAGCAGACCCAGAACTCAGCAGGCCTCCCGAAGGTGTTTTACATGCTGGCACTGTGATGCCTGCCCTGTCAGAGCTCGTCAGGCATAGGGTTCACTCCTGGAAGATCATCTATGAAGGTAGAGGAGGCCTGTGTTGGTCTTGGGTGACCGCACAGGGCAGTGACGGAGGAGGCCTGACTGTCCTTGATGTTGTGTCTGGGCAGTGTGCCCTTGAAACAGCCTCATTGGCTTCTTCAAGGATCTGTCTTTGGCCTCTAAGCCCCTGCTCATCTTGAAGCCAAAGGCTGGTGATTGGTTTCAAGCTGAAAAGGAAATTTGGACACCTTGCTTGCATGTAAAGATCAACATTAGGCTGAGGCAGGAGGATATCGAATTTGAGCCCAGCCTGGGCAATTTAGCAGTGTCATGAAGACCCTGTCTTCAAATAAGAACTAAACAAGGACTGGGGATGTAGCTCAGTGTGAAGGCCCTGTACTGACCAGCAACAACAGCAGCAACAATTATTTCATGATAGTTGTCACTCCAAGTGGAAGAAATGAAATGCAAATTTGGTGAGTAATAAAATTAGTTTTGTTCATTCTTTGGTGACATTCTAAATGTTACTGTTTATCTGTCTTAGGTAATCTATTTAAAGAAGACGCCCGAAGAGGCCTACAGAGCTCTCCTATCTGGCTCAAACCCCCCCTATCTTCCATTCAGGTATAACTGCTTGTGAGACTGCGCTAAACTTAGCTGGGGTTGAGTTACTGTGCTTTTAAATGGTTTTCAGACATTTGAGATGCTGTTGTTTTATATGTAATGAAATGAGATGGTAATTTTTCTCTCTCCCTTCTTAAAAAAAGCAGAACAAAAGACAAAACAAAAAATCCCAAACCAATGAAAACAAGGAGAAAAATCTCTTACAACCGTCATCTCTGAAGAATTGTGCAGACTTTTAGTACTTTCGTCTTTGTGCTTATTTATGTATCCAGATCTGCAAGCATTAGTGTTGCTTGTTATTGTTTCTGTGACATAATTCCCAACAATGACAGAAGCAGAGTGGCTGCGAGGCCTCTTTGCTGTCTGTCCTCCGAGTTTTCAGACCCTTAGGAGCACTGGTAGGAAATGTCTAAGTGAACACATTAGCACACCGTCCTTTAAGATCAAGAGAGTCTCATGTCTGTTTCTGAGACCACAGGTGAGATGAGGAGGGACACAGGTGTTCAGGTGGGGAGAACAGGACAGCGTGGGGCAGCACCCAAAGCCTGAGTCTTCCCAGGGAGAGCCCCAAGGCAACCCTCCCACCCCCAGAAGTCTTGTGTGTAAGAACACATAAAATGTCAGCTTATGTATAGGACAGTTTTAAGGAAACTTCAAGTTTTCTTTAACGTTCCATTTCTACTGGCTCCTATAAATTTGAAAGCTCTTTTAGAATAGAATCTGTTTTTCTAGAAAAGGTGATGATGGTAATCACTGTACCTCAGTTTGAAGCCAGGTGGTTGGGTAGATGGCTTAGGGGTACTGAGTTTGGAGCCTCATTCTGCTCCTTACTATCTTTAGGAAGCTTAAGTAATTAGACAAATTACTAATCCTCTTGGAGCCTCAGTGTCCTTACCTGTAAAATGGCTGTGAGTGTTTCCAGGATTAAACGAGGTAGTGCTGCTGTCCTATGCCCTGTGTGGTACCAGATTTTTGTGTTTCTCACTGTCATTATTAATAAGAAATAAGTATTATCCATGATGATTATAAATATGGTGACTAGGAGGTCTTTTTTATGATCTCGTATTTTAGTAGAGGCAGGCAGCTTTGTAGGCACAAATGAACTCTAAACATGTTAGGTTGTACAACAGCTGGGGAATGGAGGAGGCACATAGAATTTCAAGACTATATTTTCATTTCAGTAGTCAGATGAACCTTGATATCCTTGTTAATCTAGATGAATATGTTGGAGGAGGAAGTAAATTTTTTGATGCTAGGTAATTTGTTTCTTCTTCCTTTTTTTTGTACTGGGGATTGAACTCACAACCTTGCTCTTTCTAACCAAGAGCATGAACCACTGAGCTAAGTCCCCGGCCTGGCAATTTGTTTCTTGAGAAAGAACATTTTTTTGAATAATTAACAAGACCAGAAGAGAGAGAAAAATATTGTAAGAAAGTTATTATTAGCTGACAATCATGGTTATCACCATGATAGCTTATTTTTCCAAACAGTTGAAAATATTAGCATAGTTGAGATATTAAAAAATAGATGGAAAATATGCGGTGAAAAACTTCCATCTTGCCTGTGTTCCTCATCCCTTCCAGATAACCTCTGGTGTTAGTTCATGTTATATGCTTCTAGTGTTTCTTTATGTACTTACAAAGAAATGAGGATACATATTCTTATTGCTCCTGTTTTAATTGCAAAATGTATACTGCATATTCTATTCTGCACCTTGTTTTTCACCTAATTCATTTTGAGTGTGGGTAGCTTCCTTCATTATTCTGTCTTATTGCTGTTTTGTCTACAAAAATGCATTTAACAAGTTTCTTATAGATAGACTTGTTGTTTCCTATCATTTTAATTGTAGTCTTTTAAAAACTTCACTTGGTCTCAAAATTATTTGCTGTTTTTCCAATTTTTATTCTTTACTAGTGCATATTTGCAGATATGATTACATTCCTCAGGAGTTGGTACATGTACATAAACAATCAAATTATTTTAAAAGTAAACAGAAAATATACTGGAGAATGTTACTGCATTATGATTAGACATAAAGAGATTTTAGCAGTCTGTTATAAGATCCTCCTATTAAAAAGAATGCTTTACCCCAAGTCTGAGGCATCTGTGCCTGTATTTAAGCACCCATTTCCTAGTAAGAGTTTGGTCTTAAGTTAACTCAAGTTGTGTCTTTCTGATAACTTAGAACCTGAAGACTTTTGTTTGCATTAAGCTGCATCTCTCAGTACAAACTCTGTGTAACCTGTGCCCTTGAAGCAGAACATACCAGGAATGGCGGACTTGTATTTTAGTGAAGAATTTAGATGAGAAAATACTACTGGCTTTTAGGAGCTGGACTAAAGAAACTACTTTTTCCTGTCTAAGATCAGAAGTTGTGTGTGTGTGCGCGTGTGTGTGTGCGTGTGTGTGTGTTCTATCACCCAGACTCACTGAGCTAAAGGAACATTATCAAGAATCATTCTCATACTAATTTTAATCACTTGCTATTGCCTTGGCCTTCATTATAATCTGGGTTTTAATCATCTACCAGCTTTTTTTTTGAACACCATTTGTTATAAAATCACACTGTTGGTTTCATTGTTTAGATTTTTCAACTGTTGTTATATTAAACTTGTCTAAAACAGATTTCTAGTTAGATGTAATTGTTTTATTGCTTAAAATTCTTTAAAAAGGATGACTATGTTGAAACCTTATTGAAGATATGGTTGGTATTTTCAGATGTATGCTTCACTGAAATGTATGTGTTTCCATATGTGCTGTATCTTTTAGTGTTTTTAATAAAGGAATTTTATGACTATTCTGACTTTAGATAATGCTACTCTTCAAGATTTATTCATTTAGCAAACAATTATTTGAGCAGTCAGTTCTATAAAAACCTTTCCTCATTTTTGTGGGGAAGCTTGGCAAATCTTCCTGTAATTCCTTGTTACACTTTATGGACTGCAGTGCTTTACATAGCATTAAAGCAAACATCTTGTATCATAATTGTTTGTAGGGCTGACTCTTCTGTTGAGAGTGGAAATTGGTCTTGATTCATTCCCCTCTGGCCTCCCAAGGGAATAAGTACATTAATTTATTGCTTTTTTTGTATGCCAGTCATTGTGATGGTCCTGTGGATCTAATAATGGGTAGGACAACTTGATACCTGCTACAAGGAAACCCAGGGTACAGCTTGTGTTTGCATGTGAAACAATCCTAGTGCTTTATTAGAGTTAGGAGATAGATGTTATGGGAATATTGAGGATAGAGGTGTAATTGGAACTAGGGTTAGGGAACATTAAGAGTAGGCACCATAAATGCTTTTGGTGTGAAGATGACAGCTGGAACATGACAATCCAGGTTTTGATTTTAGGTGCTATAACTTTTCATTCATATGGCATCTTTTAAAGTTGTATGTTAAATTGGATCTAAATAACGTGAGATATATAGTATAGGTACATTATTATAACCAAAAAGAAAACTTGACCTTTTAATTTGGAATTTTATTTAGTTTTCCGTTTACCTTCTGAAAAATTCACAAAAAATGAGGCATTAAAAGATTTATATAACTTTATTGTCTATTCTTGATTGAGTATAGTTGATACTACTGGTAGTTGAATTTCTGGGTTGGTGTGACCTTTGGGAAATGTTGTGATGTTACTGTTTGTGAATCAGTCAGCCCTGGAGGTGTTCCATTGAAGTGTAAGATATCTGTGTCAAAACTGTACTTTTCACTTGTACAAAGATAGTCAGTGTGCTTATCAAGAGTGACTCTTGCTGGAAACTAGAGGAAAAGGGTATTTTCCATCTACTTTAATTCTTTGAGTCCATCCATCCTCAGTGTTGTCTTGGCATCTGGTCTTTGAGGGAACAAAGGGCCTTTCAGTTCTGGGGGCAGCGTCAGCAGAGCTGAATTGGCAAGGTTCTTTTGGAGTTCTGTCCCTTTCACTGTATTAGCTAAATGTAGTGAATCCTATTAGACAAACATTCTATAAAGTAATTTAAATTGCTGCTTACCTAAAGTCCTTCAAGACCTTTAACAAAATCTCCAGCTTGTTTCTGTGCTTGGTCAGTGGCAGTGAAAACTCATATCTGCATTCCTGGGTACTCATAAAACAGTGTTTACAAAAATTTAGTGTCAGAAAACACTGATAACCAGTTAGTCTATGTTGTATAGTTCTTCTTTGAGATCTGTTTTGTGCTTCTTAATTCATTTTACAATGCTTCTTTATTTACTGGTTCATATGTATCAGCTTGTTTGGTATATCCATGATGATTTCTAGATCTGCCAAAACACAATCTTTCTATGACTTATAAAATTAAGGGAGATAAAATTACTCATGCAATAAATAGTATCCTGGGACCTAGTTTTGAAGGGACATCCAGAAACCCTGCTATGTGAAAGAATCACTAGGTATGGAGATGAGGTGGGGTGGGGTGTTGTGCTGGTGTCCAGCGGAATTCGGCTGGATGTCTTATTTCTAGTTGTTGGTTTTTCTGTTTTTACTTTTTAGTTTGAAGAATAGTCTAGAATTTATAGGTCAGTGTTTCCAAAGTTATGTTGGTTCTCCAACATGGTTGCATTCCTGGAAAGCTTTAAAGAGTTATTAACCACTAGAGTTCCACTCCCAGAAATTCTGATGTGATTGGCCTGGATGAAGACTCGGTTGATCCGGCCTGCAGATCAACAAGTTTAGAACTCCTGGAGGAGAAACGGGGATTAAACAAAAGACATGGGGGAGACAAAAAGAGACGAAGGCAAGTTGATGTTAACCCAATCAAGCCTCCGGTTTATTGAGAAAATAATTACACCTTTTATAGGCTAAGGGCGGGAGCTGGGACAGGAAGAGGTTAAACAGATGAATACAACAGGGTTACCATCACATCCGGATAAGTGACGTAAGCAGAAGAGGATTATGGTTAATGTAGGCAGACGCAGTGCCCATAGGAGAGAGAGAGAGAGACATCTAGGCAGCAATGCCTGTCACTCGGCTCCCTACATCTCCTCCCTTTTTATATTA